ACCAGAATCAAACCAGCACGTACTATGTTCTATGCACCACGTATATGTTTCCTAATCCATCATCCCAATTACTGCTTGTTCACTTTACTTTGGAATGGAACATTCTTGGCTTTACATAACAATGAGTCTCAGTGCCTGCAGGTAACTTATGATGTTGGAGGGTTCAGGTTCTACTTAAAGGCAGTCATTTAGCTAAGATCGATATAAATATATGGAATTAGAAGCAGGAGTAGGCCATTCAGCCCCTTAAACCTGCTCTGCCATTCAGTCAGGTCATGACTAATTGGCCACTCCACATTCCTGATAACTTTGACCCTCTTGCTTATCAAGAATCCCTCTACCTCTGCCGAACACGTTATGTGGAATCCGCTTGCTATCCCCTCCAAACTGGCTTCTCATTTCATCCGAGACTTCGGTCCTGGGTTCATTAGGTTTGTTGTCCGATACTGTTACCTGTAAACAGTTGTGACCCTTTCACTGAGTGGGCAAGGCTGTGTCATTTTCTGTACTGGGTAAACGTAAAAAAAAGGAGCAGGCATAGGCTATTCGGCCCATCGAGCCTCCTCCATCATTCAACACCATCATGGCTCATTCTGTATCTCAATGCTATATCCTCACTTTCTTCTCATGCCCCTTAATGCCTTTACAATCTAGAAATGTATCTATCTCTTTCTTGAATATATTCAGTGACCTGCCATCTACAGACTTCTGTGGGAGAGAATTCCACAGGTTCACCATCTTCTGAGTGAAAAAATGTTTCTTTATCTCAGTCCTAAGTGGTCTACCCTCTATCCTGAAACTGTCACCCTTGGTTCTAGACTCCCCAACCAGGGGAAACATTCTCTCTGTATTTAGTCTGACTAACCCTGAAGAACTTTATATGTTTCAATCAGATCCCCTCTCATTCGTTCTAAACTCTAGTGAATACAGGCCCAGTCAAACCAGTATCTTCACATATGACAGTCCTGCAATCTCCAGCATTATCTAGTGAACCTCCACTGCACTCCCTCTATGTCAAGTATATTCTCTCTTAGGTAGGGACACCAAAACTGCACACAATACTCCCAAGTGTGGTCTCACCAAGGCCCTGTATAACTGCAATAAAGCAGATGCTGGAAAGCTGAAACAACAGAAATAGCTGGTGAAACCGAGCGGGTCTGGCAGCATCTGTGGCGAGAAAACAGAGTTAACGTTTCAGGTCCAGTGACCCTTCACCTTTCGATGATTCTGATGAAGAGCCACTGAACTTGAAACATCAACTCTGCTTTATTCCCACAGATGCTGCAACGTCTGCTGAGTTTTGCCAGCAATTTCTGTTTTTGTTCCTGTATAACTACCGTAGGACAGTTCTAATTCTGAACTCAAATCTTCTTGCAATGAAAGACAAGATACCATTTTCTCCCTAATTGCTTGCTGCACCTGCCTGTCTCCTTTCATTAAATGGTGTACAAGAACACCCACATCTCTTTTCTATATCTACACTCCCCAGTAAATCACCATTCAATGGGGATGGAGTTAGATAAAGGCACTAGCCCCTGTAGATTTCCCAGTGTTTTGCTTGCATCCTCTTGAATATAGATTCATGGATGATCTCAATGTCTAAATGATTGTCTAATCTCTGACACTGAGATGTCTAAAATAATTAATACATTTGACTGGGGAGAGAGGGTGAAACTGTCTCTTCTGGTTGCGCAGTCCAGACAGTTGGAAAGGTCATAACCTGAAAATCAGAGCCAGGCCATTTGGGGTAATGTCCAATAAAATGGTTTCGCAGGAAGGGAATCTGCAGCACTATCGTCTCTCCCTGCCCTCTCACACCCGCCTCTCGAAGCTGGGGTCAAATAGAGAATGTTGTCCAGTCAGGGTATTGATGACAATGGAGCAGAGGCAGTTAAAATAGAACAACCAAACAATGGGCAGAATGGCCTCCTCCTTTATGGAGGGACACTTCCGATCAGCAAAGTGTATTCAGCAAAATTGTCTTCATGTTGGTGTTAGAGCTATTTGCTAGAATGTTGCAGTCCAACTCCTTCCACCACACCCTTTTTCTCAAAATATTTGACGAGTTGACTTTGGATTGATACAGTGGCTGGTTTGTGTCAAACAAGAACTTTGGCTTTAAGTTTCAATGCAGAGCCTTGGGCACATACTCGGGTGCAGTACTGAGGGTGTGCTGCACTGTGGAGGACTCCTTCTTTCAGAAACGTAACTAAACTGAGGCCAGACACATCCTCTCAGAGGAGCGAGGGTGTGACATTGTGACGAACACAAATGGCAGGCTTTATCTCTCGCCCAACAGTGCTGAATAAAACAGATGAGCTTATCTCGCAGCTGTTTATGGGAGCTTGCTGTGCACATGTTCCTGGGATGTTACCTACATCACAGCAGTGCAACTTTGTCAGAGATCTTCATTGGGACAGCCTGAGGTCATGAAAGTCACAATATCAAGGAAAGCCCTTTCTCTGTTATTATGTCAACAAAATGATGAAGCCAGAAGGTAGACTGTATGGGGGAGAGTGGCAGATTAAAGGGAGCTGCTTCCTCAGTGCTGCACTGGGGTGTTGGTCTACATTATGAAACTGTGCATCTCTCTTTTATAGGGGATGATATGCTTCCTGTGGTTCCAAGGCAGTTACACATCAGGGAACTGGAGTCAGGTCACAATCTGGAAGCTGTTTTCCAGCGTTATAAATGAGATGTGTCTCTTTTTTGAAACACACTCATTACATAGTGCCCTCATGGAGATCAGGGACTTGAGTCTGTTCTATTTTTAGAGATTCCTTTTGGCTGGATGATACTCAGCCAGGGATGTCAAACTGGGCTCTCTCCCTGTTGGAGCCGTACTGTCATCCTCAGATTTACTTCACCACAACCCAACAGGAACCTCCAATAGCTTTTGTAAATTGTATTGTCAATGAAAAGAAAACAACATTGATCTCTTATGAAGAAACATCATTTGAGAGCGGAGTCAAAAATTTAAATCTCTATACACTGAGCTTTTAAACTATTTTATTGTCTGGCAGTGACCTGAGGACTTTTCATTCATACGCTGTAACTAATTGATAAACCATACACTCTCACATAGTTATACGCACTCATACACACTCATTCGAACCAACACACCATTCCATAAATAGTCCCCCACACTCATGCACACACTCGCACACACACTCCCTCACACTCATAAACACACACACACTTCCACTGTCTCTTACACACTCAAACACCCTCACACACTCATACACATTCATACACACTCCCTCACACTCAAACACTCACATACTTCCAAACTCTCTCACGCACTCATAAATATAGACACACCCCTACACAGCCACACAGACTGCTACACATTCTCACACAATTATAAATACTTACACACACTGAAATACTCACAGACACTCATGGACTCTCTCATTCACTCCTACACCCTCCCACACTCTCCCACACACTCATAAACACACATTCATAAACTCACTCCCACACACTCATAAACACACATTTATAAACTCACTCCACACACTCATAAATGCTCATTTACACTTATGTCCTCACATACACAGACTGTCACATACACACATTCCCACACACTCACATTCACCCATAAATATTCACCCATACTCATGTCATCACATTAACACACTCTCGCAATCATAAACACTCATTTACTCTCACTCACTCGCAAAACCGTACTGACACTGACACACGCACACACACACACACATAGACTAACACATACATGCACACACATATGCGCATGCATGCACACACACACACACACACACACACAGTCAAGTACACAGTGGCTCTCACACACTAGTCACAGTCAGGATATTTAGATAATCTTGAGTATAATGAAGATGATTTCTGACTGAGCTGAATATTTGTTCTCATTGAATCAGGCAGAACCTTTACTGCTTGATTTCCCTTGTTCATTTGGAATTTGCAGCTTCAAGCTGCCAGATGACATTGTTTTATTTTTCAGGATAACTGGACTGGTTCAGCAGAATCTCATTTGGGATAAAGATCATAAAGTGAAAAGTCCATTGAAATCCGCCTGCAGCCTTCCTGAAAGCAAACTCAGGCAGAAATTGGTTTAATGCTGTGAGGTCTGGGGAGGCAGTGGTTATAGTGGTTATAGTGGTGCTGCCGCTGGACAGAGTCCTCGGTTAATGCGCTGGGGATACAGGTTCACATCTCACTGTGGCAGATGGTGGAATTTGAATTTGAAATCATCTACTGATATCAATTGTTGTTTAAAAACCCATCTAAAGGAAATCTGTCATCCTGACCCAGTCTGGTCTACATGTGAATCCAGGCTCACAGCAAGGTGGTTACTCACAACTGCTCTTTGGGTGATAAATGTTAGTTTGGTCACTATTGTCCATATCCCACGAATGAATATTTTAAAAAAATGAGTGACCAGGTGGGTAAATTGCTGGACAATGAGAGTGGTCCAAGTCTGCCACTAATGTACTACATGAAATGAGTGGGCTCTGTGGATATCAGCTTTGGCTCAGTGGGTAGCATATCCACCTCTGAACTTAAAGGTTATAGGTTTGAGCCCTACAGCTGCTGACTTGAGTGCAAAATCTTGGGGTAGCACTGAGGAGGCTGTCAGAGGCGATTAGGATCTTTGGGATGTTGTATTGTAACTAAGGCACTCAGGACATAATTTGTCTGAGTGGTTGTTGATGCATGGTTACAAAAACAGACACCAGGGAAAATTGTGGCATCTTTCCCAGCCTGCTGAGGCACCAGTTTAGTGATGATGTAAGGAGTTTCATCGGGGGGGCCAGAAGCAAAATAAATCTAGCTAGTGATCAAATTTTAGAGGTCCAGACCTAATGGTGACATCCAAGTCAAATTTGCAAGACATTTGATATATTGTCAGTGCTCCATGCTGACTGGAAACTGATGTGAAGTTTAGAGAGTGTTAATGTGAATGGCATTCCCCGAGTAAAAACTCATAACTAATTTGCTGATTTTCTCTCTCTCCCTAGTTTTCATCTGCAGCTTCATGGTGGCCACCCCTATCTTTGGTTTCCTTGGCGACCGCTTCAACAGGAAGTTCATTCTGAGCTGTGGGATATTTTTCTGGTCAGCCGTTACCCTGATCAGCTCCTTCATTACTAAGCCGGTGAGTTACAGAGGCATGCTTGTCCCCTCTCCCCATGAAAGGATAGGCCACCACGTTGGGAGGGATGGACAGGGCTTCACTAACCGCAGAGCTGGTCATTGCATTTCCTGTTCCCCCGGCCTCATCCACGCCCCAACCACTCTTCTCGCAAAGGTGTTGCCTCCTTGGCCTCTGGGTCTGGGACTAGGCCAGAGGCTAGGAATACTGCAGCCAGTAACTCACCTCCTGACTCCTCAAAGCCTGTCGCCATCTACAAGGCACAAGTCAGGAGCGCAATGGAATACACCCCACTTGCCTGGATGAGTGCAGCCCCAACAACACTCAAGAAGCTTGACACCATCCAGGACAAAGCAACCCGCTTGATCGGCACTACATCCACAAACATCCACTCCCTCCACCACTGACGCTCAGTAGCAGCAGTGTGTACTATCTCCAAGATGCACTGCAGAAATTCACCAAAGAATTCACCTCAGACAGCACCTTTCAAACCCACGACCACTTCCATCTCGAAGGACAAGGGCAGCAGATACACGGCACACTACCACCTGCAATTTTCCCTCCAAGCCACTCACCATCCTGACTTGGAAATATATTTCCGTTCCTTCAGTGTTGCTGGATCAAAATACAGGAATTCCCTCCCTTAGGGCATTGTGGGTCAACCCACAACATATGTACTGCAGCTGTTCAAGAAGGCAGCTCACCATCACCTTCTCGAGGGCATCTAGGGACAGGCAATAAATGCTGGCCAGCCAGTGACCCCCACATCCCACAAATAAATTTTTAAAAAAGAAATCAAGTCACAGTCGTTCAGATTAGACATTGGTAAATAAAGCCATTGCTTGCTGGTGTTCCAGCCATCAGTCCTTGTGTAATTCATAACCTGAGATAAAGTTCCCATTCATTCCATTGAGATTTGTCAAATGTTGCTGTGCAAATTGTGGCTAATTGAAAATTGTACAGTGAATTTTGTCCACTTTGAGGCTTTTGTACACATTGGTACAAGCAGAACAGGTGTGCTAGTGAGAGATCATGAAGGACCCATGTTTAACAGCTCAAGCAGAGATAGCTGTTTCTGTCCCAAAAACTTCACAGAATAGGTGTTGTGTTTAACCATATAACAACGGTCACTGCATTATACAACTTTGAGGTTCCATCTTAATTCACCTTGAACGGGGTGGGAAAGGCCTAAAGAGGAGTCACAAGTGATGCTACCGCCTCCATTTTGAAAGAGGCCTACATCAGGGTCAAGCCCATCCCTGATTCAGAGGACAGGCTCAGTTTTAGTTGTGAAATCAAGATCCTGTGACATGAATTGGGTCTCCTTAATTCTGGATGGGTGTTATCCCGGTCTGGATACATGAAAATAAAACACCAGAAACACCGGAAACGAATGTACTGGTTGGACTGGGCCTCCATTTTGAAGTACATGTCATTGGTCAATTTGAGCACTCTTACCTTCTGTAGCCCTCAGCCACTTTGATGGGAAGTGAAACAAAAGCGTCAAATTACTTTGCGTGGACCATGCGGGAGATTGAGGTGCGAGGCCGGAGCCTTGAAATGGCAGGCTTCCTCACCTCTGGAAAAGATCAGCCCTCAGCCCACATAAATCACCCTGAGCACGGGGAGAAACGCAAATCTTTTGCAAATTCCCTGCTTGCCCATTTTCAAAAAACTTTTACTTTCTTCCCCTGCATCGATCTGTGAACGTTCGAAGAAAACCACGAGCTGTTGCCAATCATTTTTCAACCAAACCACAAAAATGACGAGGGAGGGGTTGTTTCTGTTGGCAGCCCGGTGACAGTTGCCTCAGCTTGAACTGGGTGAACTAATTGCACAGGAAATGGGATGATCAAGTAGAACATTGGGTGGGGGGAGTGATGGAGGAGACGAGGGGCTGAAGGATTAAGCTATCAGTCTCAATATCAGAAAATGCCTGTCTCCCTTTTGATTTTCATGAAAGAGAAAGGGCACAGCAGCCTGAACTTTGAAATTCTTTTCAGACATCAACAAGCTTTCCCTACTTCAGAGGAATGTTGTGTTTGAATCGTGAAAAAAGCAATGAGTGATGAGCCCCACCCCTCATAATTAAAAGCCCACCCAGAACATCCCAATAGCAGAATAGTAGTTAATAACATCCCCCTGCAGAGAAAGAGACACTCATTCCCTAAGGGAGGCAATACTGGAGTCAGCCTCTGTTTCCGTTTGATCATTTTCTGCCCTGTATTTAGGTTTGAGGGTGTTTACAGTTCTAATTGGGAAACCCATGATTTAATTTAGCCCCCAGTCCAAATGAGCGCTTTATCTTCACTCCTTCGTGGGATGTACGTATCACTGGCAAGGCTGGTATTTGTTGCCCATCCCTAATTGCCCTTGAATTGAGTGCTCGCCTGTTTCAGAGGGCGGTTAACACTCGATCATGTTGCTGTGGGTCTGGAGTCACATGTAGGCCAGGCCAGATAAGGACAGCGTGCCCCTAAGGACTTCAGTGAACCAGATGGGTATTTTACAACATTAAGTGATGGTTAATAAAAACAGAAAGAACTGCAGATGCTGTAAATCAGGAACAAAAACAAAGTTGCTGGAAAAGAACAGTTCTGAGGAAGGGTCACCAGACCTGAAACGTTAACTCTGTATTTTCCTTCACAGATGTTGCCAGACCTGCTGAGCTTTTCCAGCAACTTTGTTTTTGATTAAGTGATAGTTGTCAGGACTGTTGTATGAAGAGAGATCAGGCAAACTGGACCTACATTCTCTAGACTTTTGAAGTCTGAGAGGTCATCGACTGTTGCCAAATACTTAAAGGGATAGAGAGGGTGGTTGCAGTAAGATGTTTTCCCTGACTGGGGAGTTTAAAACCAGAGGGTCACAGTTTAAAAATAAGAGGGATGCCAGTTAGGTCTGAGATGAGGAGACATTATTTTACTCAGAAAGTTATGAAATCTCTGGAATTCTCTACCATAGAAGGTTGTGGAAGCTCAGTCTTTGAATATGCTTAAGGTGGGGATTGGTAGATTCCTGGTTATCTGTAGCACACAGGGTTACAGGGATGGGGTGTGTGAAAGGCATTGATAAGTGCTCGATTAGTCATGATCGAATTGAATAGCAGGGCAGGCTCGATGGAGCTGAATGGCTCACTCCTGTTCCCATGGTCAGATGATTGAGTCTAACTTTTAAGTTCCACATTTAAAACTCGAATTTAATCCCTCCAGCTGCTGTGGTGGGATTTGAATCCACAGAATTAGCTTTACCAGTGTTGCTAACATCTCTCCATTGGAACAGCACTGTGCAATGGTCTCTCAATTCGGGGTTAGAGCAAAGGACCCTAGTTCCCTATCGTCCCTCCCTCCCCACCCCTACCCTCACCGTACCTGCAATCACAAGCTCGAGCAAGGAGTGTCAGGAGGAACAACAGCAGGTAAATGCAGCTGATATATTGGACGGTGGAGTGGGAATAATGGGCCTGTTCTTAGATTCTGTAATGAGCTTGTAACTCTGGTCCAACACGTTACTAAAAGTTTCCACCTATGCTCTTCCACTCCCACCTTCCCAAGTGTTATCACCCACTGGTTAGCCAACATGCGCATCATTGCGATATCCCTCCTCCTCATGTGAACAGTTACCATCTGGACCTTGACTGTTAGTCAAACCATATTTATTTTCCTGTCTCGGTACTTTCCTTGTTTCCCCTACAGTTTCTCCCCTGGTTTCACTCATAGCACAGTCTGAGAGATTCATCTTTACTTCCAGGAGACACCATGACAATCTGCGCACGCTAGAACTATAATTAAGTATAAATAAGTTTTGCCCTCAAGCTACAGAGAAGGGATTAAATCGAATCTAACCTTATTCTGGATAACAACATTGTCAAGAAAGAATTGCAATTGTTTAGCGCCTCTCATCAGGTCCCAAAGCATTTTACAGCCAATGACATAGTTTTGAAATGCAGTTATTGTAATGCTTGGGAACACTGTTGCCAAATTGTGCGGAGAAAGCTCCCACAAACAGCAATGCAATGTACTAGTGACCAGAAATAACAAGGTGTAGAGCTGGATGAACACAACAGGCCAAGCAGCATCAGAGGAGCAGGAAAGCTGACGTTTCGGCCTAGACCCTTCTTCAGAAAATCTTCTTGTTATCTCAGATTCTCCAGCATCGGTAGTTCCTACTATCTCTGAAACAATAGTGACCAGATGCTGGTTTCGGCGCTACACTGAAACAGAAGTCAAATGTCGCGGTGGAGTTTTTGGAGTGGGATGTGAACCCATAAAACATGAGATTCAGAGGCAGGGCTGAGCCTCATATGAAGAGAAGAAGCAAAGGGATCTGACAAGAAGCTCTTTTCCAGTTATCAGGGCAGGAAGCAGACTACTCTGTGCCTCAAGCCTGCTCTACCATTCAATAAGATCCCGCTGGGCGTGGAATCCACTTTCCTGCCTGCCCTTCCCATTACCTTAGACTCCCCCATCAATCAAAAGTTGAGCTTGGTCCTGAGTTTATTCAGTGATCCAGCCTCTGCTATTCTCTGGGGAAGATGGTCCCAAAGGTTGGTAGCACCTGCCCGAAGTCGCTCAGTTAGATGAGGTGACACAGGAAGATTAAAGATTCCGGTTGTCTGTGAGCACACAGGCCCACAGTACAAAGGGCTGAATCAGCAATGACCATACTCTTTGGAAGGTCATTGCAGACATGATAGGCTGAATGGCCTCTTCCCACGTTGTAGGGATTCTATGATTCTATTCTCTGATACCCAAGTAGGCTTGCTGACCATTACGCTGATGGGACATCGAGTCAGAGGTTTCTGTGTTCAGCGGTCAGCGACGTTCCTGTTTGTTAGAGAAATGGCAGTCAATCAGTGGGCTGGTGAGTGGACAAGTGAAAACCCCAACTCTGAGTACGGGCAAGGGATTGAAGGGCAGCTGGGCAAGAGGTGATACCTTCGGGAGAGAGTGAACATTGAGACTGAAAACATTATCGGAAGAAGCAGAAACAAATTGCATTGT